CCGGTATTTACAGCTGGCAAGATTCCCGCGCATCAAAGTTACCGTACAAATCGCCCAGAGAATAACAACGCAAAATTCGTTTTTGGTATTGACTGACGGCTCGAAATATCTACTCTACAAGTAAGTGAAGAAGAAGCGCGTGGAAGGACCTGTGGTGATGACAAGTCGTTAATCTGATACCACAAGTGGTCTAACAGCCTGGGAAGGAGGATATTCGGCAGATTGTCTGAAAGGGTCATTATGAAGCAGATTACTTACGTTAGATGTGCTGTCCACAGAATTTTAACCGATATTCTGAAACTTGTTACTTAAGCAGGGTCTCAATAGTATTTATTCTCCAACATAAACCTAAGATACTTTACACCAGTCAGGAGGTTGCGTTTTGGACTAGTTTCTTCTCGGCCGCCCACAAAAACGACATTTTGTAAAAGATGGTTGATCAAATAGCATGCACTTTTTCCAATTCAATTTCGACTCCCTTATAAATTCAAATTGCCGCCGATTGGTTGCTTAAACTTTTGCTTACTTTACCCCTTTATATTATTGTACATGCCTGATGATGAATTAATCGAAAACGTTCGTTCGCCTAACTTGATTTCCTGAATATTTTATAGCATTTCTTGTACTCATTTATTCGTTAATTACGTCGTCTTGAAAAAGTTTGTCCTTATGAGATTTATGCCCATTAATGAAATATTGTATATATTAATTGATAATCTCTGCTTAGAAAAAAAAACACATGGTATAGCCATCGTAAAATTTTACTAGTAATCCATGAAGTCTTCCTAATAACGTGGAGATGTATGATTTTCTCTCATAGGGAACTTATACAGTATGTAGTTTGTAAACCTAAAATGCCATAGAAGCGATGGGTCAAGTTCAGAATTATTTGACAATTTCAAACGACTTTTAAAACAAAAAATATATTTTCATACAGATCAACACTTGAAAAAATGCATGTTCGATACAGAATAATATTGTTTTTGCACGTCTAACTGAACGCATCATTTACTTATTTAAATTAAATTAATTAATATTTATTTTGTTTGAATTAATAATTTTTATTAAGGAAATGTATTAATGGTGTCGTATTGGCAGGCAGCCAGAAAAAAAGCTTGCTCAACGGTCTAATGCTGACGTGACTGGAATAGTTTGGCATTATGCTGCATGATAATTTATATTTTTATACTATAAATATATTTTATATTTTATAATTCATATATTTATATTACAACGCTACTTAAGTTATTGGTTCGAATCAAAAATTGGAGAATTTTGGTGAACATTTCACGACAAAGCACATCTACTGTATCCCAGCAAGTGCCTACGAAAAATAGCATGGAGAGCTTTACGCAGGAGCAGCAATTACGTATGTGAACAACCATTCTTAGTTAGGCAGTCAGGTCTGCTTTTAGGAAGGCAGCTTGGTTTAAACGATAAAGCTAACGAGAGGTTTTGTTACGCGTAGAAATGTAGTTTTAGCAAGAAGGCTAAAGGTACAAACAGCCAGTCGCAGCGAAAGTAAGACTTTTATATATAATTATTTTCAAAAACACTAATAGAGCAGGGGAAAAAAAATATCCAAAGTACCTTGGCCTTGAAGAGTTCATCCCAGGCTGAGCCCTCGTGCAGAAAGGCAAACAGGGTCTTGGCAGTTGCGAGACGGGGATGTTGGAGACACCGGACGAGAAAGAGTTCCAGAGCTTGCTTACGAGAATCAATCAGGTCCATATCAAAGCGACGACCAGTGAGAGAGCCTGGTAGGGGCACGGAAGACAAGGTGTCTAGGGAGGACAGCGAGGTGCCGACCGGATCAGAAATGTGCAGAGCTGAGGTAAATTTGTGCCAGGAACTGTTGGCCCCATCGTGCTTGCTTGGCAAGGCGGGAATCAAACAGGTGGAAAGCTCCAGTTGCAGCAAGTAGCGCAAACGAACAAACTCCGAGAAACGACGACTCACGCACCAGGACTTTACGCCGTTTGCTTGAGCCTTGGCTTCTTCAGTCAGGGCCTAAGTAGAGAATAGAGGGTCATAAATTAATTTAAATTGAGCGCTTTCTTGAAAGTTACCAAACGAATACATGAAGTGATTCGGCTTTACAAAAGTACGATACGGCATACACGTTGGAAACGTGACCTGCGTTGTTAAGTGAACCCGAAGTAGCTGGGATTTACGTTTTCGGAAAAACGGGTACGCTATTATCACCCCGAAGGTTTGGCCAGGTGACTCAGTACGAAAGCATGTAACTTAGACTCATTTCTATCAGCACTAGGTACTGAAGCCTTTAAGAAGCTTCCCTTCAACATTACTTGAAAAAATAAAGGAAGCATAATTTTTCTGGCTGAAAAAGACAACTTTTATGAAACTTTTAAAAGGGCAAACTGCGGATAAAACGTGAACGAACTGCTACCTGCTGGTCTCCACTGTAAAAGTAGACAAGTACCATGACCTCGCTTGTCAGTCGGTGTTTTGCCCATCCATAAATGTTAGGGTATGGTGCCAGTTTAAAAGGCGTTTTTGATTGGCCATGGCAAGAAAACGAAGCACTCAATCCTAGTTGGAACAGTCTTACTCTTTCCTTCCTTTGTATTTCGCTCATCCAGTTCAGGCTGACTTAGGACAGTAAAGTCAGTGGCTGATGCAATAGGAAATCGCCACTGCACGTTATCTACGTGATAGTTCGGCTGTCGCAAGCGACAAGCTCCACCACTGTCGCGTGAGGCAGACACAGACATAACTTGTAAGTGAAGTGGGTTATACCGAAATGGGGATTAGACTTCAGCTGCCACACGAGACGCCTTCCAAGGGTAGGCCGAAGTCGACAGTAAGGGTACGCTAATATCGGTCTTGCACGCTCTTCCAACTGGCATGCACCAGCGACCCGCGTGCCACACGCAAACACGGGGATAGTCCAGGAATCACAAAAACCCAGCGCAGTTCACTTAAGGGTGAACGTGGTTTTTTTCTTGGTCTAGCTTAATAGGAGTAGAGTCAACACAAGTTCGCACAAACACGGCCTCACAACGAGTGTGCCCGCTTGCACGTGTTGAGAAATTGTAGTGACTGGTGCGTTCTCACATTACTAAATCAAGTTGGTTGTGAGATGAATGACTGAAGGCACTCATTTGTTTTTCCCCTGACTCATAGCCAGATACGTAAGCCTCTTCTTGTGCCTACTCGTGCCTGAGTAGACTTAGATTGTAGGTCAATCTGGGTGTGCTTGTCTGCAGCAATCTATAACCCGACCCGACGTAAACGCGGACCAGGTCCTGCGAAATATCAATTAAAAAAAATTACCTAGTCTTTCGGATTTATCAAGTTTTTACTTTTGAATTTTTTACCTGCGCTCAAACAGCCATGAACAGATAGTGACAATAATAATATGGGAGCACACATCATAAAATGTAATGTACTGCAGAAGTAGATTAAATGTTGCAGCCTCCATGTCCAGAACTTATTCTAAACCGGAATCTTTCAATTATTTCGAGTAAGACACCTTTATATGGAGTTATTTGGCAAAAAAGATCTGTAAGAAATGGGTCTGGAAAGTAGATGACATTACAGTGACAGAAAATAAATTTTTAAATGTTTTACTTAAAGTGCCAGTTTTTCGGGAGTAATTTTGGCACAGGGGGATGAAAAGATTTCAGATCCAAAGGAAGCACGCCACGATGGATGGAATAATCTAATTTTACGCCACGTGTAGTTGTATGCGAAGGATATGGAACTCACACTCACCTTGACTTGAATATAATAAGCCACGAATTCCTGATCTTTAATGTCATAATCCGGAATGCGAACGTGAAGTTGTTGTGAACTGCTCATTTGCACAGGAAGAGGCAGCGTACCTGCTGCGAAAAGAGAAAAAAATAAAACAGTTTACAGGACTGACCACGACAGAAGTATTGCGATTTTATACGGGCGACTGACAAATCTCAAATGAACACGCAAAGAAATACAAGTCTCAAATACTTGGTACGTCGTTATTATACCACGTTCTGTTTTTTAAGGGAAAGAAAGGTGAACAACTTTGAGCTCCCTATTGGTAAAAAAGTGACTAAGAATTGCACCTATAGGAATTTTAATGCGGTCACGTAGGGTTGTGATTGTGGAAAATTATGGATTTGCGAACCCCGTATTCGAATGTAGAATTAAGTTCGGCGTGTCGAAAAGAAATCAAGTCCAGTTTCAAGCAGACATGCCTTTTCTTTGTTTTAACTGTAGGAAAGTCAGGATTATTTAATTATGCATATGGCTTTGCGGTTGATCGCATACTTCAAGTGGTATAGAATTTACAAGGATTACAGGGAGGACGTGTCGATGTCTTTTACACGCAATTTCGTTATTGTCTACCATCAGGAGCAGACAGTTGCAATGCGCACAGTACAGTAGTCGCCGGTTATTAGGCCCACGGTTAATAGGCCCAGCCGCGTATT